TTCAAAAGATGTCAATAACCCGCTTTTCCAGATGTGAAAAAGGCTAATGGGGCAATTTGCGCATGCCTGCCTTCTGGAGCACGACTGGCTCGTGGGTACTGTGGGTACGGTATCTCCACTCACGAGCCAATGGCCCTCTAGAGGACAGGCACACGCACTCCGCCCCAATAGCCTTTTCACGTCTGAAAAAGCGGGTTATTGACATCTTTCGAAGCTGCAAAGCACAGTCTTGGACTTAGATCATTCAGGGGAACCGAGAACGACAAATATCCCAAATTTGTCATTCTGCCAAGCCGCTGCCTTTGATCTTCCACATCTACTCCATGCTCACCACCCTACTCACCGTTTCACCCGGAACTTTTCGACAATAATTAGCTGGTACGAATCCTTCGGTGCCGTCCTGCTTTAACACTCGCCACCATTCAGGTGTTGATTGTTCCAGAAGAGCTAACACTTCACCTTTCATTACAGACATTCCATTGCCTTCATATTTGTACAGCATTTCGATCTGCGGTACAGTAACCTCTTCCGTCTAAAACCTTTCCATAATTTTATAGAAAAAACACATTAGGGAGAAATCAGACCTCTTGGGTGCTTGTTGTAGCTGTGTGGAAGGAGCTGTTAGCAAGCTGATGGCTCATTTCCTCTAGTCTTACGATATCAGCCCTAGAAAGCACAATAATGAACTTTGAAGCAACGAAGAAGCTATCTAAGCATTAGATTACATACCGATAAGCATGGATCTCCTCTTCAAGTCGCGCATGTCGCTGCAACAACGATTCTGCAGCGCCTTCATCACGACCAAGATCGTCACTTTTCACTAATGGCATCTTCTCACGAATCCATGATTCCGCCTCATTGGCGTCCTGAAGAAGTTGACAGAAGTTTCATCAACACCGAAATCAAATCTTCGCCGTAAGCAAGTTGAAACTTACCTGGAAGTATTGCTGCGCTTGCTTGGCTTGATTGAGCCACTGGCCCAATGCTTGATGAGCAGCTCGAAGTCTTTCCCAGCCTTGTTGCATATCATGGATACGGCTCTAAATTTTAAAAAAAAATTATAATTAAAGACACTTCTGAAACCATTTTCAGTGTACAACGTTTAACACCATTTTTTGGTTCATTCGCAATTCTAAAAACCATAATCAGAATCCGGAAATTTCTGATACTTCTCCAAGCGCTTATCAAGAAAAAGATACCAAAAAATGATTTGGAATCTATTTTGTAAACAACCCCAAAATTGTCTCGGAGCCACGCCTCCTTTTGTCCGGTCCCACCCTCCTAATTGCTCATCTCTGTGTGCTTTATCCCCATTAGAGAAGCACAAATAAAATCGGAGAGTTAATGAAAACAATTAAAAAATGTGTTCTTGCCTGAATATCCTCACGCGACTGTCCATTCTCTATAAGATGTTCACCAGCAGCCATCATATCTTTAGTGCGAGCCCAGTGTGACTGCATTTCTGTTTCAGTGTTCTATAAAAACCTCACTTTCCCACAGTTTTGCCAGAAATAGCAATAAACACTTTATCACCTCCGCAATATAATCACTTTACACAAACCTTATAAAGAAGCGAAGTTTGTTGCACTGCTGCGATGTCACTGACAGCTAACGCACGGCGGCAGAGATGTTCTTTTTCAGCTAACCACGACAGCTCTTCTTCATTATCTTGGACGAATTTGTACAGCGCACGAGCCTTTTCAAGGTTAGCGCGTCTTTGGCGGCACAGGTCCACCAAGCTAAAAACAGTGAGAATTAGGTATAGAAACTAGTCAAACAAATCAGCATTATTGAAAATCAGAGGCAGCGGCTCGCCAGGATCTCGTTTTCCAGTTTTTCACATTTTCAGGACCTCCTCGCCATTAGAAACCCATATCTGGGCTTTCCCGCGCATGAAAATGGCGAAAATGAGCTTTTTTCAATGCATTTCGGGTACGCATTCACTGCAAATACGCCGGAAGTCTTCCGCGCCCCGAATGTATCCTTTCGAGCTCCGCCCACGTATTTTGCACTGAATGCGGACCTGGAAAACTCCAGGAAAAGCTCATTTTTTACTGTTTTCATGCGCAGAAAAGCCCAGATAGGTTCCTCATAGCGGAAAGGCCCCGAAAAGAGGAAAAACTGGAAAACGAAATTCTGCCGAGCCGCTGCCTCT